CATTGGGCCTAGTTCTGCTCTCTGGAGCTGTACAGAATAAGCCTAGTTCTATTTCCAGAAGATAGTTCTTCGGTGATTTATTACACAACTAAAATGTGCCAGGCACTGAGCTAAGCACCTCACAATTTTATCTCATTTAACTCTTTAACTCTCACATTAGCCCCAAAAGTAAACATTATCTCTGCTTCAGAGATGAGGAAAATGAGGCTCAGAGATGTAATATAACACATTTGTATGTGGCAGAGAAATGATTTAAATCCAGATACTTCCCCAAAACACAACCTTTTCAATGGATCCATTGGAAGATAGGATTTATGCCAAGTCCCTTCCCTTCCCTTTCTTTCAATAAAGATTTATTAACTATCTTATCTGTACCAGGTCTTGAGGTAGGCACTGGGAATAGAGGTGTTAGATATAATCAATGTAATTGAGGCACTTATAGCCTTTCCCAAACCATGTGAAAAGAACTAAGAGTGAGAAGCACAAGGGCTGTCATTGCATCATAGATCTTGAGGGTCCAGGAGGGCTACCTGGAGGAGGTGCGATCTGGGCTGTGTTTTGAAGGACTAACAGAAGTTGGCCAGGCTTGTGCCAAGGGGGACGAGAAAGCAAGATGTTTTGGTGGAACTGCTGTGCAAAGAGCTGAAACTGTGGAGCTCAGACTGCAGAGCAGTAATGGTGCCAAGCTCAGGAGCTAGGATTATGTACCACTTGAGGGGTCATCCACTTTCTTATGAATAAGAATCTCCTAGGGAAGCGCATTTGAGATCTTGTTTCTGTGAAACTGTTGTCAATTTTGGTTTAAATAAACTTATAAAAATTCTCTAAAAAAATAATAAATCTCCTAGGATTTGCTTAAAATCCAGATTTTCATTCTAGGTGAACCCAAGAATCTCTATTTTAAGCAGGTGCCACAAGAGATTGAGGAGTACGGGGTCACCACTGCTGTATGGAAAAGAAATCTCTGAAGGATTTCAAAAAGGTAGGATTCTTGATCCCTGTCTTTGGAGCCTCAGAGACTAATCAGGGAGACAAACATAAAAACAAGTCATTATAATGATGAGCAAAGACTATTAATTCTTAGTATTTCAAGAAAGATATTCTTAGTGTTCCAAGAAAAAAAGTGCCATACTTGGACTAGTAATTCTTTAGCCATGAGGATATTAATATTGGTTTCTTGGCATTAAGCTATTGAACATGTACTTTAAGGGTATCAAGGTAGCACTGTGTTGGTTCTTCATTATTTCAAAAACCTTTTTTTAAAAAAAGATATGTTCCTGAACAGAACCCAAGAAATATTAGTGATCCATCATGTGCCAACTCTGGTTTAGAAAGGAGCTTTTCTTGATAAGCAGTTTCAAAAACAGTATAGCCCTACAGCTCATACCATTTCTTGGATTAGAGGAGCCTGTGCCTGATTTGTCTTGGGGTGATCAGGAGGCTACTAAATGCCGCTCTGTGCTGTTCATCTCAGCAAGCAACCACTGATGGCCTAGCATGGCCCCAGCCTCATTCTGGGCACTGAAGATAGAGATAAAGCCAACCATATCCCTGTTCTCCAGAAACTTAGTCTTGTAGGAAATGGAGACCATTAATAATACACAGATGATAATGCAGTGTGAACAGTGCTGTGATGGATGGAAACTTGGGGCAGTAGTGAGCAGAGAAAGCCTCTAACCAGCCTGAAGGATGAAGGGAATGCTTCCAGAGTCTTCAAAGATGAAGGTCATTCTTCATAAAAGGTAGCAGTTCATTCCAGACAGAGGAACCAGCATTACAAAAACATGGCAGTAAGAAACATCCTAAGTGTTTTTCCTGTTACTTTTTTGGTGGTGGTGCAGAGACTATAAGCAGTTAGTTCCCTGCTACAGAAGCCCAAGTTAGGAACAAGATGGAGCTAAATATGGAGGCAAGGACTTATATATTGGGCAAAGAATTTTGCCCTTTCCCCTTTAGACGGTGGGGAGGGCTGGTGTATAAACTGTAATACAATCACCATCCCTCAAGCCTGAAGAGGAGCACCAGCTGGGAATAGTTTCCACTCTGGGTCCCCAACAGGTGCAAATCTTCTCAGTGACTCTCTCTACTGGCACAGCAGAGAAGCAAGGAGGAAGGAGGCAGGCCCCACCCTTCGACCAGGCCTGCCTTCTGCAGCTGTTTTATGCCCTGAATACCCCTAGAAAGCCTCAACATCAGCTCCCTGGATATTAAAAGAATGGTGGCAAAAACAGCCTGTTTTAAAAGGTAGACTCACTCACAAGCTAACATTGCCACTTGGAGAGAAAACAATTATCTATTTGTAAAATGTGGCCCCATAAAGATCTCTTTAAAGAAACATTTACCATTCTATAATAGCTACTATTTAATCCTAACAATCCTAGCAGAAGGCAGTGTTATCCTCATCTGAGAGGTGACAAAACCAAGACCCAGAAGGTCAGGTAACTTGCTTAAGGTCACACAGCCAATAAAAGGTAAACCCCAGATCAAAACCCAAATTAAAAACTTTAGACCTAAGCACCGCAAAGAGTCTGGTTCCCCCCCAACTCTAATGGAGAATTCAAAATAAAAGATCTAAACTGGAAGCCAAAAGTTTTCAATTTTTTTTTCTCTCAAAGTGGTTACTTGGTGCTTTTTAAAAATATAAAATTATTCTAAATTTATATTTCTTATTCTTTGTTAGGTACCCTAAACACTCATGCTTAGTATGCCTCTGACTAATCCAGAGTTGCGCACATCTGTAGCATCTGAAGTCTAGGCATTTTTCCCTCTGCCATGCTGCCTCTCACAAAATTTTTAAAGCAATTTCATAAACCTTTAACAAATTAAAATGTATTTCTAAATTTTTTAAAAAATTACCAAACGTAACAAAATTGTTTTTTTGTTCCCTTCTTGAGCTCATAGGCTCCAAATCGATGAATGGCTAACCCTGTCCATCCAGGTGCCCAAGCTAGAAATCTGGGTTTTTAACCCCCGGCCTGATCTACCCTCCTCCCACCCCCACATAACTCTCATCCAATCCTTTTCCACACTATGGTGATCTAATTTCCAAATGTGATCATTTCATTCTGCTCAAAACCCTGCAGTGACTGTGCATGATCACAAGATAAAACCCAAACCTAGACCCTCCTACCCCATTCCTCACACCTACCTTCCCTTCCCTATGGAACTCTTGCTTCTTTTTCTCATAGTGCCCAGCACTGCACTGTTGAGATTTTAGTGAGAACGCTAATAAGAACACAACTACTAATCAGTTATGAAACTTCTTCCCCATTAGACCGCCCAGTCCAGGCCTGGCAGGGAGGAAACACATTGGAAATACTTGGTAATGATTCAAATGCCTGCTGGCCAGAAGACACAGTAACAATACTGCTTGCTGTGACCAGAATCTGAAAACCCATTTTCAAACCCTGCCTCAAAGGCTGAACAAAAGAAAATTCAACCATGCTAGCCATTATCAATCCATTCCTTCCCACAGCAACCTGTGTATTAAATGGCCTTAGACTTTTCTGGACAGTAAATTATTACTCTTTACATTTAAATAACTTTGTGAAATGTAACATTTTGATACTGTCAATACTCATTCACTGTTGCCAGCCCCATCTTAGTATGTAATGCAAGGCAGGCAGGTACCATGGGTCCTGAGCAGGAATTGGTCCATAAAAACATAGCCCAGCATATCCGCCACCAAAAATCATGTTAAGCTAATTCTTCAAAATTACAAAACCCTTTGTTTAATTGAAAAGATGTGATTCTTAAGATGTTTAAATAATACTATTGGGCCAAAGAATGCTGGTAGGTGGTAAAGGATAGTGAGGGGTAATTGTTTCTTCTAAGTTCCCAACTACATTTCATAAGAACATATTACTTTTATAACCCAAAACTTCAGATCTTACACTTTTAAAAATTAAATGTTGTTTTTTAAAAAACTGTCATAAAATATACATAAAATTTACCATCTTAACCATTTTTAAATGTGTAGTTCAGTAAAGTATATTTACATTTTTGTGCAAGTAATCTCCAGAAGTTTTTCATCTTGCAAAACTGAAATGATATATTCATTAAAAAACTCCCAATTGCCCCCACCCTGCAGACCATGGTGACTACCATTCTACTCTATCTCTGAGTTTAGATACCTCATCTAAGCGGAATCAGACAGTATTTGTCTTTTTGAGACTGGCTTATTTCACCTAGCATGATGTCTTAAAGGTTCATCCAAGTTATAGTATGTGTCAGCATTTCCTTTCTTTTAAGCCTGAATTAACATTCCATTTATATTGTGGCTATTGTGATTCCTGCGTGGGTGTACAAATCTCTCCTAGAGGTGCTGCTAGCAATTCTCTTGGATATGTACCGTGAAATGGAATTGCTGGGTCATATGGTAATTTTACGTTGAAGTTTTTTGAGAAACCACCATATTGTTTTTCATAGTGACTGCACCATTTTACATCCTCACATATAATGTATAAGGATTCCAATTTCTCCACATCCTTGCCAACACATATTGTCTTTAAAAAAAAATAATAATAATAGTAATTGCCATTCTGAAAGATGTAAGGTAGAAGGTGGTATCTCATTGTGGTTTTGATCTACATTTCCCTAATGATTAGTGATGTTGAACATCTTTTCATATGTGTGTTGGCCTACAGACTTTATTTGAAATACAAGAAAAACTACATTTTTAAAATAAACTCACTTTTTAAAACTTCTCTGCTCTTGGGAAAATCTCTCTCTTCTATCAACTTGAGAAGCTGGTGGGCTATGCTTACGAACCTTCATTCACGCAGCAAGCCTTCCTTCTCGGACAGCTGCAAAACTGGAAGCCCAAAAACTAGATGATGACAGAAGTCCCATTATCAGTAGGAAAATGACAAGCTTGCCCCCTAGTGACAAGTTAGGAAGATAATAGAAAAAAGCAAATGTTCTTAAAAGAAAAGGCAACCATGTTGAAGAACATAATCTCTACCCCACCCAGAATCTAGAGAGAACACTAATAACAAAACTACTAATCAATCAAAATAGTTTATTTACAGGGATAGTTAAAAAGGTTCAGTTCTGAGGGACAAAAAGTGTCACAAAGCACAATGCTTACACATCCCTATCTAAAGTTGCCCTGGGAATAATCTGCTCCCTCAGCGTGATGCGCAGTACCAGGTGTGTCAACTGGGGATGCTAATTTTTCATTGTGAATGTCTCCACTGAAGGTGGGCTTATCCTCTTCAGCAACCCTGAAGCATAACAACATTTAATCCTTCTGATCTCTATGAATTTATTGAAAGATGTGACTCTAAAGGCAAAAAAGAAGCCCTCACCAATGGTTACATAAGTCAGAGGGTGGCAGTTAGCTGTTCTTAGGTCCTTAAACCCTCTATTATGTAAATCAAGACACTTTCAGATTTTTAAGCCCTCCCAACAAAAATAACAATCATGATGATGTCCGATTCCTTCATACCCTGTGGCTGCTAATTTTCTCAATTTTCTGCTCTTTGTCTCTCCTCCACACCCTCCAAAATCTCTATAGCTCTCTATATCACTGTTTTTCATAGAGATACAAGAATTTGAGAACTAAGACCCCATTAATGTGGGTGTCTTCACAGAAAACACCAGTTAAAGGAATAAACATTTCAAGCTATATCCCAGTAGGTGACACTTTGGGGCAATGGGTCTATGTAACGAGAGCAACTGATATTGAGTCCCAAGTCTTCCTGCTCCAGCAGGTTGACCTCTAAGGGCTCTATCAGAAATAGGAGGTGCCAGCCTCAATCTGTTGCATAGGAGGGTGAGCCACATTACCCAAACATTAAAGGTTGGACGTTTTTCTGCTGTTCTTTATGTAGTTGTAGAGCACGATTTTTTAGCACCTCGGCCTTGGCTTCATCCTTGTCGACACCATCCCCCAGCTTGTACATGCGGCTGGCATTGGCACAGGCCCAGACATGACCCAAGTCACAGGCTTTCATCGAGTATTTGCATGCCAGGCCCATGTCCTTGGGAAAGCCAGGGGCGCCCTGCAGAAACATGGCACTGAGGTTGAAGCAGCTAGCAGCATAACTGCCATCGCAGGCTCTTGTGTAATAGTCTCTGGCCTTCCCTAGATCAGGCTGACCATCATCATTGACCTGTCCATCATGTGCCAGGAGACCAACATTGTGACATGCCTCCACAGACTTCTTTCCGGGCTTCTCACATGCCATCAGAAAGCAGCTGGAGGCAGCTTTCAGGTCCCGGGTCAATCCGCCTGGGAGGAAGGAAAGGGAAGAAAAAAAATAAACCCAAGCCAGGGCAGAACCTGAATCAGGCTAAAGTTAGGGAATAATTCCTGAATGAAGTTCATATACCCTGAGCTAAGGCAGCATGAAAGGAAGGTGGCCTGATACAGTGCACAGACCTTTCAGCTTTTTTAGCCATGGAATCGTTTGTTCAAATGAGATCTTCTGAGGAAGCCCAAACAGGTAAAGGAGGCAAAAAGTGGGAATAACAATAGCTACTCATGAGATTACAGCATGTTATAAGAACTTTGTTAAATGTTTGTTAATTTAAATGTATACTGAATGTATATTATTTGTCATCTACTGTGCTAGGTTCTGGAGAACAGACATTGTCACTGCCTGTGGATCTTATGCTGTAATGAGACAGACATTAAACAACTACACAAATAAATGTATGATTATAAGGTTGACAAATGTATGGAGGAAAGTATAGGGTACTATATGTATTAGGGCTCTGACCTAGACTAGGTAGTGAGGTCAAGGAAAGCATCCCCAAAGAAGTGACATTTGAGCTGTAAAATAATGGAAAAAAAGAAAGGAAAGGAAATATGGGTTGTTCCAGGCAGTAGGAATAAGTCAAAGAGAAAAGGAGCCCATGTGGCTAGAATCCAGAAATCACTGGGGAAGGAAGGCTAGAGAGGCAAGCAGGGGTCAGATTATGCAGGGTCTGATGGGTCTTGTTAAGGAACCTGCACTTAATCCTAGGAGCAATACATGGTAAACTGCTAATAGGTCATTTTATGCAGAGGTGGTTACAAGGCTCACTTTTTTTTTCGTTTTTTTTTTTTTTAATGGAAAATTTCAAATCCCCATGTACCATCACCCATTCTCAAAAAATATAAACATTTTAACTATCTCTTAACATTACTTTTTTAAAGAAATCGTTCCAAATATACTACCTAGAAAAAAATTATCATTATCATTAAGAGAACACCATTCCAGTCACCTTTGTAGCATGTGTTCAGATTCAATACTGGCTAGCTGAATTGACATCTAGATAGAAGTATTTCGAAAAATTGAATTACATATGCTATTTGTAAATTAAAAAATTAACTGATTCTACTTGAATTTATCAAAAGAAAATTAAACTGAAGCGAAATGAAGAACTGCTGAACTTCAAATGACTATATTTTTACTAGAGAAATTTCCTAAATGAGTTTCTAGTGATAAAGAGATTACTAAAAATATTAAAAGGTTAGCCATTTAAAAAAATTTTTAAACTAAATTTTAGACAGTATTGACTCACAGCTAGAAAATATGAAGATATTGGCATCTCACAATTCCTCCCGTCTCTTCTCCCCATCTTCTACTTTCTGTTGGTTATGTTACTTCAACTTAGGAAAAGAGCACAGTGGTTAATAAAGCCTGGGCTCTGGAGCCAGAAAAGCTATGCCCCCGTCCCAGCTCCATTAGTTGTCAGCTGTATGACCTTAAGCATGTTATTTAACTTCTACAAGCCTCAGTCTTCCACATCAGTAAAATAAGGATAATAGTATCTACTTCATATGGTGGAAGCTTAAATGTGTTCTTACAAAGAGCCTGGCAGATAATAAGTGCTCAGTAAATGTTATAGTGTTTCTATGTTATAAAGGTTTCTATTATTTACATTCTATTTAGTAACCCTAATTAGCCCAATATTCATTAAATGGATTCCGCTCATCACCGGTCTTTCCATAAGAGCATCTCCATTCCTGTATATTTCTTCTGATTCATCTCTTTATTAGTTATTAGATAGGTTTTTCTAAGAAGAAAGCTCATAGAGTCTATGTCCCCTGAGTTCTTTCAATTTTGAGAAAGTATTCCTCTCACCCTTATATGTAAATAATATATTGTTAGGTCTTGCTTTTATATCCAGCATGACATTCTCCGACTTTTACCTGTTTATTTACATTTAATGCAATTATTTACATTTAATGCAATTATTGGGTTTAAGTCTACAATTTGTTTTTTGTTTCTCACTTTTCCCAAATGTTTTTTGCTCCTTTATCTTTGTGTTCTTTTGAATTGTATATTTCTAATAGTCCATTTCCTTCTTATATTGGCTTTTTAGTTATACTTTTTTCCAGTGATTTATCTAGTGGTTATAATATGTATCTTTAACTTATCACAATCTACCATAAATTAATATTTTACCACTTCACATATATATGTAAGAACCTTACAACAGTATACTTTCATTTACCTCATTCCCTTCTTTTGTACTACTGCTGTCATGTTTTATTTATATATATATATATTTTTGTTTTACTTCTACATATATAAGCCTCACTTATGGATTGAGGCTTATATATGTAGAAGTAAAACAAATGCTGTTTAAAACAAAAAATTATTTTAAATACATTAAATGATGAAAAAGTCTTATTTTTACACATGTATTCTAATGTGCTTTATTCTTTTGTATGGATCCTAGTTTCTACCTGTTACCATTTTCCATCAACCAAAACAACTTTATTTCTTGTAGTGTAGGTCTGGTAGTGACTCATTCTCTCAGCTTTCATTTAGCTGAAAATAAATTTATTTCATCTTCATTTTTAAAGATATTTTTGCTAAAGTAAAATTCAAATTTGACTGGTTTTTCTTTTAAAAGATGTTCGTCTTCTGGCTTACATTGTTTCTGATGAGAAATCAGTGGTTGTTTTCATACCATTGTTCCCCTCGATGTCATTTTTTTCTGACGTTTTTAAGATTTTCTTTTTGTCTTTGGCTTTTCAGCAAATTGGTAATAAATGTCTCAGTGTAACTGACATTTTTCATCAAATTTGGAAAGTTTTCTATTATATCTGTAAATATTTTTCTCTTCTTCTCCTGGGACTTGAATACACATATGTTAGAGTGATAGATACTGAATTCCACAGGTTGAAGCTCTGAACTTTTTTTTTTTCCCTTTTTTCCTCAGTACTTAAATAATATCCTGTCTTCGAGTAACTGATCTTTCACTGATTTTATTTTAAAGCATCTAGCCTAAGTCTGACCAGTCAAGTTTTCATTTCAAAGATTATGTTTTTCAATTGTAGGATTTCATTTAGTTCTTTTAATAGTTTCAATTTCTCTAATGAGATTTTCTAACCATTCATTCTTTATGTCCATTTTTATTTAAACTCTTAAACATATTATATCTGTTTTTAAATTTTTGACTATTAATTCCAACATCTGTCATATGTGAGTCTATTTCTATTAACTGCTTTTTTACTGTCTAGTAATTTCTTATTTTATGCTGGACATTGTGGATGATACTTTGAATAGTTTGGATTTTGTTTAATTTCTTTAAAGACTTGAGTTTCACTCTGGTAGGTAGCTAATTTACAGGTGAATCAGCCTGATGCTCTTGAGGCCTGTTTTTAAGTTTTGTTAGAGCAGATCTAGAACAGTCTTACTACTACAACATAGCCTTTCTGGAATCTTAGTTGAATGTCTGTGGTGTTCACTGAAGTCCCTCGCTCTGGCTGACTGGAACTCAAACCACTCCCAACGCTGTGAAACCTTTGGAATCTCTTTTTAGTTCATAGATCCCCAGTATCTTTTTATTGTAAGGTCTCTCAGTCTCTCTCTATGCATGTGCAGCTTAACATGGGGCAAAAGACTTAACAGCATCCCAATGTGGATTTCTAGAGCTCCTTCTCTGTGTAGTTCTTTCTTCTCTGGTAGCCTGTCCTGCAAATTCCAGTTGCCTCAGTAGCTAGAAACTCTGACTTCTGCCTCATTAGCTCTGCATGACTATCATGCTCTACTTGGCTTCCACCTCTTTGTGCATACTCTGGAAAGTACTTCCAGGCAGAAAGCCAAAGCAATAGTGGAAGGGGCTCACCTTATGTGTTTTCTTTTTCTCAGGGATCACAGTACTGCATTGCCTGTTGTCCAATGTCTGAAAACAGTTGCTTTGTATATTTTATCTAGTCCATGGTTTATATTCTTAAAAGTTCATTTTAGTTGCCACATAGAAAAAATACTGGGTACCTGCACAATCTGGTCAAAACATTCTTTGAATTACTCTAAGTGTGCAATCCAAAGTAGCTTCTGCAGCAACCAACACAAACCAGACCTGTTCACATTGATAGAATGTTTTATAATTTCGCAAAGCAATTACATCTGATCTCCTTTGATGCTCAGAAAAATCCTATGAAGAAAGTATGAGCAGATCTTATTACTCTGATTTGTCAATGTGGAATTTGTAGCTCAGGGAAGGAAAATGCCTTACCTGATGCCACACCGTCATTGCTCGGGACTAAAAGTGGGTTCTTTAGCCTCTCACCTGCCTCAAGCTATCTTTGGTAAAAGAGTTACTAGGCAGTCTGTGTCAAGAAAAGACAGTGGGTGTACTTTCAGAAACAGAGGACAAAACCAAAAGATTGTAAAATCCTTTGGCTCAGAACTAAGCAGGGGGAGCCAACAGAATTGGCTTTTAGACATGGCAGGGCCCAAAGTCTGCTAAACAGCAATCCAAAGGGCTTTAGTAGCAAAGATCTCCTGTGACCACTTTGGTTTAAACACCTGGAGAAATTTATTTAACGTCAATTTAACATAAGATTAATTATTATTCTTTAAACACTGTGTTTTTTCATACCTGCTCACCTTCTTTCTGCCTGGGACACAACTCTATTTCACTTTTGCCAAACAAAATCTGCTGTCCTTAAAATATCAGTTTCAATGTCTCCTCCTCTATGACAGAACCCCCTAATGATGGCACTCTCCTAGCACTGAATCCCTACAGTACTTTACATGTCTCTTTCTAAAGGTGCTTATCAAGCTCTCCCAGGTTTAACAGGTATTAGTATAAATATTTCTTCTCCCTTACTGGTCTATATCTAATTCTTTGTTTCACTGTAGATAGTAAATACTAGAAGTTTGCTCAACAAAGGAGCACTTAAGCGAAATAAAAAGTCTCAGTGCGTAATCATTAATCACATAAGTTTGTCTAATAAGAGAAGGGAAAATAATTTCACAGCCTCTCTTGTTTTCCCTAATTCAATAAGGAACTCAAAGTCCTTGTGGAAAATATAGTAAAATATGGTATAAAGAAAAAAGGAACACAAAACTTTAACAAGACACAAATTCAGAGATAACAGCTAAGAACATTTTTGTTTTTGCACACTGTATAAGTTGAGTTCACATCGTATAGAATTTTGTATTTGGCTTTCTTCACTGAACATTATATCATAAGCTTTCTCCACAACAACAAAAATTCTTTAGAAACATTACTTTTTAATGGGCTAAATAACATTCCATCCAACTGAAGTAACATTACTTAACTAACTAAACTGCTATTATTGGCACGCAGGTTTTTAAAAATATAATTAATATAATGCAGTTACATATTGCTTGTAAATGATAAATTAATGAAAATTTTGCCAGATAAATAATGCTAGGGTGACTATCTCTACATATAACCTTTATGTGCATTTTCAATTATTTCCTTAGGATAAGATACCAGGAGAATTATTAGATCAAAGAATGCCCCTCTTTTCCAGCAAGGGAAACTGATATTCCTGTTGACGTTAAATTTTCAACAAAATAGGGACTATCACAGACCCCCATGTCCCATGTGAAAGCAGAAATAATCCAGCACCAAGGAGACATTGAAAAGATGTCTTCTTCATCAAACTTTGACTGAACAGTTTTCCAACCAGGCTTGGCTGGGCACTGGGAACAAGGGATGAATGAATCATAACATGATCTAGTGAGCAAAAAAAAAATCCCAGCTGCCTGTCAAAGATCATAATCCCTATTTGCAGTGGTTTTAAAATATGCCCATAAATTCTTTGATATTTCTGTCTTCAAGAGGTAGAATTTAAGTTCTCTCTCCTTAGTGTGGACCACACTTATTGACTCACTTCTAATAAACAGAATTGTGCTGGAAATGACATCTGTGTAATGTCCAAGAGTAAGTCATAAAAGGCACTGAGGATTCCATCTTGTTCTCTCTCTTGGGTCACTCAATCTAGAGGAGGCCAGATGCCATGGCATGAGAACACACAAGCAGTCCATGGAGAGATCCATGTCATAACAAACTGAGGTTTCCTAATGACAGTTAGCAAGGAACAGACACCTTTACCCTCAGCCACGTGAGTGAGCTATCTTAGAAATGGAAACTCCAGCTCTAGTCAAGTCTTCAAATGATGGCAGCCCTAGCTCCCTGGCTAATGTTTTGACTACAACCTTAGTAGAGAACCCTGAGGCACACAGCTAAACCATTTCCAAATTTCTGACCTACAGAAAGTGTGTGAAATAATAAAGTTTGTTGGGATCGTTTGCTATTTAGCAAGATAACCACTACTCCAGTGATAACTGCAATCAAGGCATGAGGAGAAAAGATAGATGGAAGGGAATTAATCATTACTGATCCCTTTCTCTAGGCTAGACATGTGCTAATGCCTTTACCTACATTATCCTATTTAATCCTCATAACAACCCTACGAAGCAAGTACTATTTTTTTTTCTCTATTTTACAGGTGATATGACTGAGACACAGGTGAAGTGACTGGCTCAAGGTCGTAGTACTTGCCAACAACATTCTCTACGGTCTGCCTAACTTGAAAGGCTGTGCTCTTCCCTTCATCACTCTGCTGAATTCGTCTCCAAATCTTCCTACAGTGTGCTTCCCCAATGCCTGTGAAGACCCTTCTGCAAAGAGGGCTCAGTGCAAGACTCAGGATGTGATGCCAGCACTACTATCAATGACAAAGACCAAAGAAAGCAGGTCCCTCCTTACCTTTTCCAGTCACATAATAGGCCCCCAGTTTGTAGCAGCTATCACTGTGTTTGTTCTCTTCACAGTTGAACTTCAACACCTTGGCAGCCTCATCAAAATTCTTCTGGATCCCTTCCAAATAATCTACCAGCCGATAACAACCTGTGAGGTGAAAGCAAGAGCTGTTCATGTCTGGGACTGCTGCTTAGCAGTGAGGAGGGTTCAGGTGTGGCAGGCCAGAATGTATCTTTTATATAGGGCTAGCCTCTGTCCTCCTGACGTATGACAAGGTGATCTTACCACAAAGAATGCAAGTGGTGTTCAGTCATTTCTACAAATGGCATTGTCTGCCTTTAGGCAGAGACTGAGCAACATACAGACTGGGGAGACCTTGGCCCGTGCAATGGCTCCTCCACTTACCAGCTCTTCTGCTCCCTGGCCCAAAGACTCAGTGCTAGCTTTGGAACTTCTCAGGAAGTTCAATTCAATAGTAAAACACAAAAAACAAACAGGCCTATGAGCAAGTTTTTGCAGCAGCAAGAAAGGGGTGCTTCGATGACTATACCTTACTTCTCAGTCAGGTTGAGAACATGAAGCCTGAAGACAGAGTAGAAATGGCAGCTACCAAAGGAGTTGGAAATATACTCTTTCTCCTTAGCAGTCTCTAGTCCCAGTGAGCCTTTCAATCTCTCCCCTGTCCTTTTTTTCTTTATCCCTCAAAATACCCATTTCTCATTCATTTCAACAAATATTTGAGCATCTATGTTCATCTATTTACCAAACACTGTTCTAGATACTGAGAATAGTCACTTGACCTCCTAAAAATTATATTCTAGAGGAAGAAACACAATAAATAAATAAATAGGTGAACGAAACGTATTCAAATGGTAATAAATGTTATGACTGAAATAAATAAAACAGAATGATACGATAGTTCGTTGTGGGAATGGTTAACATAGATTGGACGATCTGGGAGGGCCTCACTAAGGACTGTGATGTCTGAGCTGAGATGTGAATAATGAGAATAAACAAAGTATTAAAGACAATGAAATGGGGAGGGGGCAGAAAGTCCCAGGCACAAGGAATAGACCTAAAAGAAAGAATAAGCTTGGTACAAATCAGGTATGTGGCTGGATCAAGAAGGAAAGGGGCAGGAAATGAAGAGAGGAAAGGAGGGACTAGATCACAGGGCCTCACGGAACATAGGAAGGAATTAGGTTTTTATTCTAAGTCAATGACAAACCACTAGAGGGTTTTAAGAAGGAAACTGACATAATTCAATTTGTATTTTTAAAAGGTTACCCTAGTATATATGTTTGTATATGCCTGACTGAGTATGGAGAAAATGTGTGAGGGGACACACTCTAGCACTGACAACAACAAATGTGTTATTTTTGTTATTTAAATTTTTAATAAATAAATGAGGATAGATTTTAAGGGAATGAGGATAAAAAGAGAGATAAGTTAGAAGGCTACTTCAGTAATTTCAGTAATTATTTCAGTAATCCATATGGGAGATTATGATGACTTTGAAGGAAACTACTATATTAGTAGCTACAGTAACTACTGCCTCCTCTTAGGCTCTTCTGAAGTGCCGCAGCCAGCCCTTCTTATAGGCCCACCCTTCTCCACGCCATTGCGCGATATATTCTTCAGAGGACACTATCATTAACTCTCCACTGTCCACTGAATAGTCTAAATTCCTTATCCTGGCATTCAAGGCATGACACATTGTGGCCTAGACCTCCTCTTCAATCTTATTTCTGACTACATCTTGACTTTAACTTTCCAAAAGACAGAATTTTCTTCTTCTAACTGCTCTTTTAATCAACACTTGCCTGTTCCTCCTGACCAACCCCAGCAGTCTTTCCCAACCATTCTCTCTCCTCAGTGGCTCCAATTCCTGTGACTTCTCTCTCTGCTTAGGATATAGACCAGCCTCAAAGAACAACCCTGGGTTCTTTTTAAGCCATCATACTGCAGAGCAACTCTGTGTAGTTGGTTAGCATCAAGAAATAGCTATATCATATTTTGGAAACTGGACTACACAAGCTATTAGAAGGTAAGGCCCGTGCCTTTCCCCAACCCCCACCCCCCTTTATGAAAATAAAGTAGGAAGAAGAAAATCACTCAAAGGTACTGGCTGCTCTGGGTGGCCCTTCTGGACACCACCATCCACCCACACACTCAAGTCGACTCAGTGTTTCCAGAACACACATGGCACATTCATGCCTCAGGGCCTTTCCACAAGCTGTTACTTCTACCGGGCATAGATTTCCCTTACCTTCTTCAAGGCTTTATTCAAATGCCACTTTCTCAATGACCCCCCGACCACTCAATTTTAAATTGCCTTCCTGAACTCCTGACACTGCTCAGTCAGAACTTTTTCCCACTGCACTTATTACCTTCTAACGCACTATTTCATTTATTTCCTTATGTTTATTGTCCAATTCCCTGCCCCTCCCCCCAACACACACACTAAAAAGTAAGCTCCATGAAGACAGGGAATTTCATCTGTTCACTGATGTATCCTCAGTCCCTCTGTCCCAAGTGCTCAAGCACTTTTTCCCGGCCTCCAGGCTCTGTCTGGCAGAGCATTCCACCTCAGCGAGCCCAGCAAGTCCTCGTGGAACCCAACCCGCCCCTCCGCACCACACACAAGGTCGTCGGTGTCCCCAGAGAGCCGCCCCGACGTGACCCCTGCCCGTGACGCCTTCCAGAGTCTCTCAGAGGTCGCTCACGTGCGCCGTCTGACCCTCGCCTTTCTTTATGAGCCCCAAAGTGTCCCCAGGCCGCGCCGGCGGCGCTCACCGTCCGGGTCCTTCTCACGGTAGCATTGATAGTTGCACTCCACCTCCATGTTCTCCAGAAACGACTTCACCTGCTCCTCGTCCTGGAAGTCCACCACGCCCGCCATGACTCTTGGTCGCCTAGGAGAGATTATCCGGTCCCTCCTACCCAGGCCGCGCCGCTCTCCCGCCCCACGGTCATGTGAGCCAGGGCGGGGCGGGGCCTGGGCGGGGCCTGGGCGGGGCGTGCCTCTGAGGTTTGCTTACCCGCTCATTCCCCAAGGCCAGGATCTGCGAACCCGGGCTTCCCCTCGTTAGCAGTCAAATCTCTTCCTTTGGTCAGCCCATTCCTAAAACTGTGCCAGCCTTGTGTCCTTAAATGATTCACTTTATCTGTGCCAGCTTTGTGTCCTTAAATGATTCTCTGCCTGCAGTCTTTCATCCCTTCATCCGTCCATTCATTCATTAGTTCTGTAATCCCTAAGCCCCCACTGTGTGCCTCACCAAGTGCTTGATGTTAGTAATTCAACAACTAGGAGGTATGGTACCTGCCTTTAAAGAGCTCGCAGTTTAGTAGGAAGACATTTATGCATGCATTCAGCAAGCATTTTGAGTACCTACTATGTGCCAGATGGAGCTGGATAAACCAATAATACTCCTAAGTCTGTACAAGTACAATGAGAAGTCTGACTCATCTTCATATTCTTCCCAGAACCACCTGTCCGCCTCCAACATTAATGACCTAAGGAATAGATGACTGTGGGAGATGATGACTGGAACGCAGCAGCTGTAGAAGTTGTAGTAATAATTCTGTTATAATAGCTGTTTAAAACGGATTGAACTTTGTTTCAGATTCTAAGAGTGTTATACAGATTCTCATTTAATTCTCACTATGACACTCATTGTGATACTATGGGGTAGGTATTATTATATTTCCATTCTGCAGATAAGGTAACTGAGGTACACAGAGGTTAAGTAATTTGTCCAAGGTCACACAGGAAGTGAGAGAGTTGTACAGTAAATATTTTTTTTTAATAAAAGGATGAATGAAGTGCAAGAGGAATGTGTCAAGGAGATGAGGGAGAGGAAAGGAACTTCACCTGTTTTTCTATTTATTCTGCTCGGAATCATCAGTTCTATAATGATTAGACTGAACATTCTTCAAAGACAGTCAGTTCCTATTCATCTTTGAGTCCCAGCCAGCCCTAGTCTAGAGCCCTCAGTGGAGTTCAATCCATGGTTTCCCATCACTTATAGCAGTGCTTCCCAAATAACTCTGCTATTAACCTATCCCCAATGGCATTGGAGAGTGGACTACTTGCAAACACTTCCTCGTTGGGAAGCAGATTACTTCAACTGGGAAATGTCTTTGAAATCCTAGTTTTATTTTTTAAAATTCATATAATTTTACATTCCATTCCCTCATACATCTTTCATAGGAAAACATAAGAGCCTTTGAGGAAAATTGAAATTCCAGACGATATGCCACATTTACCTATGGGTTCTCATAACCCTGATTACCTTGGGCAATCCCTCGGTACATATGTCCCAGGTAGGGAAGCCCTGACCTTAGATTTTGAGCCCACCCTCCTTAGCCTGGCCTTCCCAAGGCCTTGTATAATCTGATTCTTGCCTTATCTCCTGTTTCTGTTCCCCCATACCCCACTCAAACTTCTGTTCTCTGAATAGGTCCCAGGTTTGTGTCTGCATTTCCTGCTGCTCTTG